TGGGTTTAGGGTTTTAGGGGTTTAGGGGTTAGGGGTTTAGGGGTTTAGGGGTTTAGGGTTTAGGGTTTTAGGGTTTTAGGGCTTAGGGTTTAGGGTTTTAGGGTTTTAGGGCTTAGGGTTTTGGGTTTTAGGGTTTTAGGGCTTGGGGTTTAGGGTTTAGGGTTCGCGCCTTCCTTGCAGCTTCGTGTGCTGTTGTGTGTGTTGCTTGATTGGAAGGGGAGGGGACACGTTTGGAAAGAGTGTTTTCATAGTTTCTAAGGCTAGGATGCCCAGTAGTACCCTTATTACCTTTTTGTAGTCTTAGGTTCCTTGTCAAAGTTACCCAATACCAGAAAGAGAGGCCTTTTTATTCTTAGGTTACTGGGTATCCTAGTTAACATTTGGGGATGGATGGTTTTCAGGAGTTTCGGGCTTCAGAGCTTGGGGGGTTCAGGTCACAGTCGGCTCCTGAGAAGCCACAAGTGAAACAGATAGCAATTCACATGGGAGTCTCCGAAAATTCCGGGAACCTTATTTGGGGACCTGATAGTAAGGATCCTACCGTTTAGGGTACTATATTAGGGTCCCCTGTTTTCGGAAACTCCGAAGTGAAACAGATACCAATTCGCATGGGAAGGGTGGCGGAAGATTTTTGTGCCTCCTACATGACACCTTCGACCTCAGCGTGCAGATTTCCTTTTACCCGGCCCGGGTTCGAGTCAGAGTCTGGGAAAAGGTCCAAGTAACATCATAGTATATACTGTTGGGCCCCAAATGGGTGGCTGTCAAAATTATGGTCCCTTTTTGGCTACCCTAAATAATAGGTCCGTAGTATAATAGGGACCCAAAGAGGTACCATAAAATTGACCACCACCCAAATATCTGCTAAGAGGTTACAGTATTGGCAATATAGGGGCCTAAATAATTACATATACTATTTGTTGGGGGGGGTCCTTCTTAAAAATGTAGTAGAATCGGCCTCAAAACCCTATTCTGATTATTAGGGCCCCTTTAGTACTCATCCGAAGTCTTGAGCCTGGAGACTCCGCGAGGACGACACCACCATGGGAGAGATCACGTTCACGGGTGTGTTGCGAGTTGATGAGACGGTCGTGCCCGGTCGAAAGCAATCCTACCTATAGTCTGCATTGTCGTTCGTTTTTTGGGTTAACCAACTTTGTGGTTAGGATCCTAGAACTACAATGGAGACTATAGGTAGGCTCTAAGACTCTAAGCCACAATAGGCTACCTTTTGGGCTCCTTATGGCTCCTTGTCATGATTACTTCATACAGAAAATGGAATAACCTACCTTTTGGGGGTTCTTCGTTATGATTTCTCTCTACAAATCCTTAAAGTAATTCACCTGCTTAGGGTTCTGTATTACGGCGTCTGTATACCTTGAGGCAGATTTTTTGGGGCCAGGTACACCCTGAACCCGATCCTGGCAGAATGTGTCTTTCATCTACCCCGAACTGTCCAGAAGCCGTTTTGACGACGTGCTTTAGGATTATATGACACACCCGATTATACCGCAATGTAACATTATATATATATATATATATACTGTATACTCGAAGATACTGTAATACTCCGTCTCTGCCAGCGGAGTGTGCTTCAGTTTGGCGGTGCAGGTTCAGGGCTTCCAGAGTGGAAGGTAGTGTGTCCAGCTGGCTTTAGGGAGCTGTTAGTACATCACAGTCGCTTCTGGTATGGCGTCGTCTCGTCTGGTATAGTCTGCTATGCGGTTTTTTGTATGGTTTCATATGCGTATATTCCCAGCGATGAGAACTCAGTGGTTCCGGGGCTTGAGTTCGGAGTGCTCTTTGACGTCGGTGCTCGATAGACGGACAGCGGGTGTCATTCACGTTTACGGATATGTTGTCGCGTCTTTAGAGGTTGCTGTGGGTCCAATACTGAATGCAATCTACCGCGTAGGTCAGACAGCTTGAAGCAGCTGTGTCTGCCTGCGTGCATGTGCACACACGAACAGCATGATGTCAAGCCGCAAGAGCTGCCGAACCCTAAACTTGAAGGAACAGGCCCAAGTAACACGCTAACAAGAAGCACAGATAACCTGAAACCATCCTAAACCCGAAAATCTGAATATAGTACCCTAACAAATAGTAGCATCCTTACTATAAGGACCTCAAAATACGGCATCCCTACTTTTCGGAAACTCCCATCCCAGATGTAAATCCCGAAACTGAAACGGATCGCACATCCCAAAAGCCCGAGGCCCCCCCAGCCTAAGCCCGAATCAAGCCCCAAAACCCTCGCAGAACCCTTGCAGAGCCCTGAAAAAACCTTAAACCCTAGTTACCCCAATAACCCTAAACCCGAAACCCTAAACTCTAAACCCTAGTAACCCTAATAACCCGAAACCCGAAACCCTAAACTCTAAACCCTAGTAACCCTAATAACCCTAATGACCCTAAGCCCGAAACCCTAAACCCCTGCTCAGCCTGAACACCCGAGGAATACAGGGCCAATGGCGACGTCGCCGTAAAGGGCAGCGTCAAACTCACTGGGAGGGTGCCAGAGCAAATTGGGAGTTTGCTCTTGGGTTTAGGTTTATAGGGTTATTGATTAGGGTTATAGGATTTAGGGTCATTAGGGTTTAGGGTTAGCAGGTTATAGGGTTTAGGGATATTAGGGTTTAGGGTCATTAGGGTTTAGGGTTATTAGGCCGCATCACGCCACTGCAGCGTACCCGTTGGTATCGCGATCTTTGCGCCGAAGGCATTGAACCCAATCCCGGCCCTTGTGGTTCGTGTTTAGGGTTTAGGCCCCATAGCATGGTTTCCCTCTGCAAGCGCCGGCGTGCTCGTGTCGTGCCCCTGCAGAGCACGAGATGGTACATGGATTTGTGTCAGGAAGGCATTGAACCCAATCCAGGGCCAAATGCTTCACGCCAGCTCTCCTTGCTCACCTTGAATGTGGCGGATAGCGCGAATGCTTTCGAAGCTGCCAAAGTTTATATGCTCGCTAAAGTCCATGTCATTGCCCTTCAAGAGGTGTGCTTCTCCAATCAGCAAGCCCAGGCCTTTGTGTCTCAAGCCAGCCGCTTAGGATATCATGCTTTCCACGTGTCGGGCGCCACCACAAGGTCTCGCCGTGGTTATGATGTTCATTCGGGCGGCGTCGCTGTCCTTGTGCGGCACAGCATAAAGGTCCAGCCGGTGCGCTCTTGGCAAGGGGTCGCCGGGCAGTTTGTTGCTTTAGACTTTGGCTCCTTCTTCATGGTGGCCTACCGCAGACCGGATGATGACAGTGTCAGTGACATGACCCAAGCTCTGTGCGAAACGCTCTGGGCGCGTCGTGCCCGCCAACCTTGGATTCTTCTCGGTGACTTCAACTGGACACCGGAAGAAAATGAGTGGCTCGAGCTGCTTGAAGATGAGTCCGCCGCCGTTGCTGGTCCCTGGGACCATAGCTGCGCGAGATGGTTTGCCACCAGATGGGAGGGCCACCGCTGCATCGACTATGGTATCACCAACTTGACCCACCGATGCAATGTTGTGCGTGAGCTCACCAGTTGGGGTGACCACATTCCCATCCGCATTGCTCTTGACCTTGCTAGCGATGCTGCAAACACTGATCGTCTGCAGCCCACTGCCTGCTACACCTGCCCACAGGGCGTGACTGTCAGTGCGTGGCGGCTCGCTTTGGGCGCTGCGTGGGAGGAAGTGTGGCGCTCTCATCCTGATGCAGTGCGCCTCCGCGAGGTTCTCCCTTTGCAGCCTAACCGGCCTAACCCTGACGAGGAAAGCCGCATCTTTCACACCCTTGTGGAAGCTGCTTCTCGGCAAGCGCGTGCAGCATTAGGGCTGGACAATGCGTGGCGTCACACTAGACCTAAGGGTTCCCCGCCTTGTGTTGTCCCTAATGACACCCTTAGCAAGCGTAGGCCCTGTGACTTCCAGTCATTCGCGATGCGCAAACTTCGGCGTCGCTTAGGTCAACTACTTGAAGCACGACGGTGTGTTGCAAGACACAATGACGCCGAGGCTCTGCTCCTTCGCAGACGTGCCGCTCGGCATGAGGGCCCGCTCACTCCCTTGCACACGGCCATTGTCGAGTTGGAAACGCAGATTCAACAAGTGCAGCACGCTGAGGCTTTGCAGCGCCTAAACCAGTGGAAAGAGAGTCTTCGTGCTTCCGACAGCTCGGTGCGGAAGTGGGTGCGGCGCAGCAACAAGCCGGCGCCTGCCTTTGTTTCGCTTGACGGTACTCCCAGCACCGGAGTTGCTTGCAGTCTGACCTTTCTCCGCACGTTCTGGCGGCGCATTTGGCGACGAGAAATCCGACCTGATGACGCTATCCGTGCTTGGAGTGCCGAGCATGCCCGGCATCGTGCTCATGCGCCTCAACTCGGCTGGCAGCCGATCACTGCTAGTGAGCTTCAACAGCACGCTTGTGCTTCTGGAGGCAAAGCTGCCGGCCCTGATGGCTGGAGCGGTGATGAGATCCAGCACTGGTCGCTCCCCATGTGGCGGACTTACGCTGACCTTTGGAACAGATGGATTCACCACCGCAGCTATCCGTCAGAGTGGCAATACTATCTGCAGGTTCACCTCCCTAAGCAAGACCCTCACCCTGTGCATGGTTTAGACGTTGGGGACGCTCGTCCTTTAGTCCTCGAGCCTATTCTCTGCAGGATTGCTAGCTCTGCGTGGGCTCGCCGGGCCACCACGAGAGCGTGGCAACAGGCGTGGGCCCCGCTCGGTGCGCATGGCGGCTTCCAGCAGCGAGGCGTGCACACCGCTGTACATGCTTTGCAGAATGCGTACGTGCACTGTTATGGCATTCTTTCTTTAGATTATGCCAAGTGTTTTGACCGCGCCCACCCCAGCACAGCCACACATGCCCTCAGCCGGTTAGGTATGCCTGCGGAAATGGTCGACTTGTGCAGGTTTCAGTGGAGCCAACAGCACAGATGGCTCGGTTTGCAAGGTTGCGTTAGTGCGGAGGCCGAAGTTGTTACTTCTAGCTTGCCTCAGGGAGATGCCATCTCCCCTATATGGCGCTTAACGCCATCTTATGGGCCCCCATCCAAGCCTACTGCCGCGAGGAACCCACGGCGACTGCGGTTACCTACTTGGACGATCGCAACGTGGTGGTCCATGACCACGCTCAGCTCGTTCGCACCCTCCAGTTCTGGATGCGCTGGGCTGGCAGGTTGGGCCTTGAAGAGAATGTTGGGAAACAGAAATTCCTCCCTCGGGGTTCTGCGGCTGCTCAGGAAGTCGACCAATCTAGGACTGTTGCAGTTGTGCACACACTTCGCATTTTGGGAGTCGATTTTCGCACCCGCATTGATGGCAAAAACAGGCCCACCTACCAAGACCGCCTGAACGAAGCCCGCCAGCGCCTTGGCCGCATCGGCTGCCTGCCTGTCTCGTTTCTGGCCAAGTGCCAGTTCCTTCGACAGCTTGTCCTTCCTGTGGCAGTTTGGGGCACATGGTTTGTTCATGGCGCAGCCGGCACTTGGAAACAGCTCCAGCAGCGCCTCCTGGGCGTCTTGTATGGAGGCAGGTCCCCTGCTTCGCCCGACCTGCGTGCTTTGATGCAGGGCCATAGCTTGGATTTCCAATTCATGGCCGATTACCAGACCATCTCCATGTGGGCCAAGCTCGTTCAGCTTGGCCGCGCTCGCTGGCAGCCCGGCGCCATGAGAGGAACTTGGCAGTATGCCGTTGCTGCCCGCCTTAAAAGCATGGGCTGGCATTTGCAGCTTGACGGCTCATGGACTCATCAGGCCATTCCCAGACGATGCATCACTTGGGCTAGGAACCTGCAGACCGAGCGCATCAAGCACTTACTCCGGGAAGCATGGCGGTTTGAACGCTTTGAAGCGTGGAAAGCCTCGAGCAGACTGGATGCTGTGGCTGCGGCTAACCCGACGTTCCAAGCAGCTCGAGTCAAGCAGGCTTGGCAGCTGTGGAATGCCACCTGTGCTCATGGCCGTGCAGTACTCACCGCTGCAGTGGTCAGCCCAGCACGGCTTCAGGCCAATAAAAGCGGTGCTGCTGTGCAATGGTGCCCTTTCTGCAAAGAGGGCTATGCTCCTACGTGGGATCACTGTGCTTGGAGTTGCGCGCACTTCGGTGCTTCTCGCCCCGCCCTACCTGGCGACGGCATGCAGCGTAGGACGGGTTGGCCCGTGGCAGCGCGTACCAAAGCCCAAAATCTGCGAGTGCTTGACCATCTTGCTACTGTCCGCAAGAGCCTTGTTGCATACCGATGCCTGTAAAGTTTTCTTCTTGTGTGCTTCAGACACATAAAATGCCCAGATTGCTGGAGATGCACAGGTTTTCCCCTGTTAGGGCCTGTCCCTCCCTTTGTGCCTGGTTGGGGGTTTTAGGTTAGTTAAGCCTGCTCCTTCCCTGCTGTCAGCATTCACTCGGAGTTGATCTCCCGATGAGTGTCTTTTCTCAGTGGCAATTCGACTTCGTCAACGGCGCGGTCAGGATTGGTGCTGCGATCAAATCTTTCGTTACAGGGTTTTAGGGTCATTAGGGTTTCGGGTTTAGGGTTTAGGGTTTAGGGTTTCCGGTTTAGGGTTTAGGTTTTCTAGAGGTTCTTTAACTTGCGGGGTTCCTTCAAACATAGTTTCAATCACCTGGGTCCTTTCAGAAATCTGAGTCAAGCGTGCTTCTAAGCTAAGGTTTTTCATTTGAGTTCTACGGGTTCTAATGCATGGGTTCCGAGAAGGGCTCTGGTATAAGGGTTCCTTCACTGGGTGTTTTCTGGATTCTGTTTGATAGGGACTTAGTGCTCATGGGCTTGCGTTTAGGGTTCGGTGTTTGGGCTTAGGGTGATGTTGCCCAAGTTTGGGAGCCCCTGGTATACTCTTATGAATTTGAGAAAATCCCTGAATCTTGAACCCCAAACCCCCACAACTGGCGGAAGGTGACAGAACTTTGAATCCCAAGCCCTGAACGCTGAACCTTAGACTCCGAACCCATAAATGAACCCTAAACCCTAAACCCTTAAAGGAACCCCAAACCTTGAACCCTACAAGGATCCCTAAACCCTAAACCCTTAAAGGAACCCTAAACCCTGCCCTAAACCTTAAACCCTTAGCTTGAAGGAGCCCTAGACGCTTGACCCTCAAAGAACCCTCAACCTTAAACCCTTAACTTACAGGAAGCCCTAAACCCTAAACCCTAAACCCTAGCCTCTAAAGGAATCCTTAACTCTGAACCCTAATCAAAAACAACCTGGACCCTCAACCCTTAACTGAAAGGATCCCTGAACCCGGAACCTTTGAAGGTGACAGTGCCTAAACTCCTAAGCCCAAGTCCCCTAAACCCCAAGACCCCTAAACCCCAAGACTTCGACGGGCAAGACGGATTGCTGGTGGAAAAAGGGGCTCAAAAACAAAAAAAAAACCCAAGACTGGCGGAGGGTGACCAAAAACCCTTTAAAGGAACCCTTTGAAGGTGACAGTGCAGATGTCCTACCCTGCCGCCTTCTGGAGTTCCACTGCAGAGCCGGCAGCTGGGACCTGGGGTTTAGGGCTTCAGGGTTTTAGGGTTTTAGGGTTTAGGGTTTTGGGGTTTAGGGTTTTAGGGTTTCAGGGTTTCAGGGTTTTGGGGTTCAGGGTTTTAGGGTTTAGGGTTTTAGGGTTTTAGGACCTCCTGGAGCTGACTGAGGGCCCCGGGCCCGGTCTGAATCGTTCATTTTCGGGTGGGGCTTGGGGATCCTTTAAGGGTTTCTAAGGGTTCCTTTAAGGGTTTAAGGGTTTAGGGGTCGTCCTTTAGGGGTTTAAGGGTTTAGGGGTCCTTTAAGGGTTCAGGGTCTAGGATTCCTTTAAGGCTTTCAGGGTTTAGGGGTCCGTTAAGGGTTTAAGGGGTATAGGGGTCCTCTAAGGGTTTACGGGTTTAGGGGTCCTTTAAGCTGTTCAGGGCTTAGGGTTCCTGTAAGACTTTAAGGGTTTAGGTCCTTTGAGGGGTTCGGGGTTTAGGATTCCTTTAAGACTTTAAGGGTTTAGGTCCTTGAAGGGGTTCGGGGTTTAGGATTCCTTTAAGACTCTAATGGTTTAGGGTGTCGGGTTTCCCGTTTAGTGTTTAGAGTGCGATTTTCCCTTCCTCGGTTTAGGGTTTAGGGTCTAGGGATTTTCCGGTTTTTATCAGGGGAGCTATGGGTGTTCACCAAGAAGGGGCCTGCATGCGGATCCCAGTCGCAATTCTTCAGCCCCTCAACCTGATACTAAAAGTTCCTGAACCCTACCTTAACCAGGCTGTTCAGTGGTGCACTTTTTTACTTTCAGGTTTCTGTGTTCCTATTATAAAATAAGAAGCCTAAGAAAGTATATACTTTTTTCAGTGGGTTACTGAACAGCCTAGTTAAGGACCAAATGGCTCGGGGCTTCTAGCCTTATACTGTGAATCCCGGTAAGGTATATGAATCTTAAACCCTTTCGTCCCTAAGGGCAGCCCTAAGACCGACACCCTAAATCCGACCATAACCCCAAATCACCCACCTCTCTAAAGATTTGTACAACGGAGTTGTAACTATAGGAAAAACCCTACCTGAACCCAACATCGCCGCTTTTTGAGGGCTTTCCTTCATAAGGAAGTTATAACTATAGGAACCCTAGAAGTGTAGGTTTCTTGGGGTCCAGGTAAAGCTTGAACTTGAAGGCTTCCAATCCTTGGGGTCGGATGTCTTGTTCGGGTCGACAGGATAGGGCTCTAGGGTTGAAGGTTTGGGGGTTAAGGGTTTAGGGTTTAGGGTTTAGGGGTTTAGGGGGTTAGGGTTTTAGAGTTTAGGGGTTTAGAGTTTACATAGGGGTTAGGGTTGTAGGGTTAAAGGTTTGGGGGGTCGGATTCAAGAATCGAAACCAAAGCTTTTGGGTTGAAGGTTTTGGGCTTCATGTTTAGAGCCCAGGCTTGGGAGTTAAGGTTTAGGAGGCTCGGGATAACTAAACTTGTTGCATTTGTGGACTTCTGCCAGAGGTAGCCCTCACTAAAGTAGTTTGACCCTCAAGCCATTGAGCCAGATATGCCCGAATAAATTTCTACAGGGTCCAACCTCAAGAGGAGCAGGACGGCATTCGAGTTCATCGGGTGCTGTCGTTTTATTTCGCGGGGTCTGCTTGCAGGTCATCGTCGACTCGTGCCGCGAGACAGACGAGAGCCAGAGTAAAGTGAAGCAGTGATTTCCAGGCAGCGGATGTCGGGCGTGACCTTAAAGCCCTATAAGCCATAAACTTTACACCCGAAACCCCCTAAGCCCTAAACCCTCACTCAACAGAGGGCGGACAAAAATGCGAAGGCACACACCGACTTCCAGGTTCTATCCCAATCCCGACACCCTACCAGGTCTGATTGTTGAGTTGCGCTGTCCCTTTGCGGATGTAGCCCAAGATAGGAATTTCGCACAAGGTTAGGCTGATATGTTTCCGGTCTGGAGGGTTTTAGGGTTTAGGGTTTACCGGTGTATCAACCAAAGAATTAAAGGCAAAATAAAGCTCAACCTCAGCTACAAGGCAGTTGATTCGAAGTGCCGTGCATGAGATGATGATTTTCTACACAAGGCATTCACTTGTGGGTATGTTGGGTTTGGCATATTTGTATGCACGAACGTGGCCCATCAATCGAAGCGGCTACAGGTTCGTAACTTCGAGAGTGCCTCAGGCATGAAATTCTGAATCTCGTAGCACTGAGACTGAACTAGCTCAACCCTTCTCTCCACGTCTGGACCTTGTACCAGATGCTGTACCCAGAGGCCCCATAGTGGTTCCGTTTTGGGATTACTTTATAGGATTCTAAATATGAACCCGAAAAAAGAACTACTATGGAGCCTATAGGTAATGGCTTATTGGCCAGCTCCTGTGTCTCGGCTAGCAGTCCGAACGTGTGGGTTTGCAAGATCCCGCAACTTCAGATGAAGACCCTACTTGCAGGTTCATGGGTAGTTCTAAGTGGGGTTATAAGTCCCCTAATATGAGTTAAACGAGTTATAAGTATAGTTACCCCACTTATAACCCTAATTATAACTACCCATGAACCTCCAAGTGCAACTACCAGAAACGGCAGGGGCTTGGGCTGATATTGTGAAATCCAGTGTCTGCATTGCTCAACATTCACGTGCCAGGACAGATGCAAAGCCTGCGGCGGCTTCTCAATCTCTGCATAGTGCTGCGAGCTAGCTCAAGGGTTGGTGTATGTGATGTGAATGCGGAAGACTTGACAGTGAACTCCGGAGTTGTCTAACATGTTCAGGGTTTGAGATGGATCATGCTTTAAACGGCAAAAGTAGTAGTTATGAGGGTTTTTACTTAAGGTTAGGATCTATTGTGTATAGGGCTTCTGCAGGATCGATTGTGCATAGCGCTTCGGCTGGATCTATTGCACATAGGGCTTCGGCAGGCTCCATAGAGTCAGACAACTTGACTGGGGTGATTATAGCAGTAGCCCTAATATTCCATGTGTTCATGTGGTATATACTTTGGCCTTACAGTAGTCCCTGGACAGGTACTTTGGGCACATGGACCCCTCGGGTAGGTTCAAGCCGTCGGTCGCAGATACAGAGTCGCATCTAGAGTCAATTGGCTATACGTGGATTTACGCCCTTACGCAGAGGCCCGGAACCCAAACCCTAAACTGGCCCTAAACCCCTATAAACCCTGAACCCCCTGTCCGTGAACCCAAGTCCGACCTCAATGCCAAAGGGTCCTGAGTACCTAATACTTTCCCACAACAAGTATTCCAAAAGCCATACTTTCTACTCTGTACCTTAACCTACCAACACCTTCCGTTTGTCGGCTCTTATACCATATACCCCATTATGGAGTTTTTTTAGGAAGCCACAAAAAAAGTGGTTTTGAGGCAGTTGCCGGTAGGTATTTAGGATCCTTGAATAGTCATAGAGTTCCCCATGTCCCAGATGGAGCTCCCATTGAACGCCCGAGAGCACTGCAGCTTTATCGTATGGGTGTAGGGTTCAGGATTTAGAGTTCAGGGTGTAGTAAAAAGTGTTTAGGAGCACTGGGGTTTTTTCCGAACATGCGGGGCCGTCAATCTAGAAACAGATTGCGGCAGCTTGATCCTTCTGTCTTCAGGACTGTTAGATCTGTTAGATTGACGACAAACCTGTGCCGCTTGGTGTGTGGGGTGTACATGTGGGTGGTTGTCAAAATTACGGTCCCTTTTGGGGTCCTTATTATAATACGGCACCTAAAATTTAGGGTACCCAAAAAGGGGCCATAATTTTGACAACCACCCATGTGTTGAAACTTTCGAA